GGTATTTAGATGCAAACAGCAATAAATGAAAATGAAAATGTTGCAGCTGTGGATGACGCACTCCAGGAAGTTTGCTAACGTACCGTTTGCTGTTATATTAGCCTACACTTCAGGTTACACTGAATACATAGAATATGAAGATTTGTTTGTTTTCATCTTTATTCTTGCAAACACTGGATCAGACTTTAAACCTCTGTGGTGCTTCCAGCTCTTCCTGTTTTACCAAAGACAAAGAACTTGTGACATTTTTCTTTTCACTGCCATCTGAAGTCTTTTGAGTCAGCAGCAGCAGGAAGTTCGTTTCTGATTCCGTGTGAGGGAATTTACAGAAAGCAAGTTTGTGCCCACTGCATCCTGCGTGCTCCATTCAGGCAGTAAGCCTTGTGTAAATACAGTTTGTACAATAACAGTCAGTACAGACAACATGATCTATCTACAGGAACTCACTGACTCAGTCTTAACGACTACACTGCTTTAAGCATGAAAACCTAAATAAAATCTACTTCTAGACATGGAACACACCCTGAAACTGGCCAAAGGGAATGTTTTAAGGTAAACGTTTCCATGATACTCTGAAAGAAGTCCCTCCACAGTTAAGGCAAAGGTTGGTGTGATGCTATACACCTGAATTATACCTCTGTGTCAGATCTACTTTGTAACTTATGCCACAACCGGAGCTCAATTTTAATGCAAATGCTGCAAAAATGTAACTTCGTGTTGATGTTTGTCCTAAAGACTTGAACGCTGTGCAAGGCTCCAGTGTAGGGATAAAAGGAGCTTCTACGTAAGTTAGGAGGTAAATTTCCTGTAGAAGTCTAAATGAAGCTTTGAAGTTTTCCATTTTCTGACTACATGAGTTTTAAAGTTCCCTCGCCCAAAACTGCTTTCCACTTTCCACAGTGTTATATAAACTAAAAGTGCTGCAGACAATTGTTAGGGACAAGCTGTTTATTCCTTACAGACAGGGTTGTTGTTAAAACACAGCTCGCCTGAACAGGGACTTGAACCCTGGACCCTCAGATTAAAAGTCTGATGCTCTACCGACTGAGCTATCCAGGCTCCCGCCAGGAGGGGAAATCTCTCTATCGTCAAACTGAATTTCAGCCAGCGTGGTCCATGCAAAACCTCTCAGTCAGTCACTGAGATGATGTGATTATCTCATCAGTGTCAATCATTAGAACCATGAAGCTCCACGATCTGAGTTATAAAACCATGAAACAAGAAGTAACACGCTCAAAATTTGTGCTCTGCATGTGAAGACAGAAATGTGCGCCATCAGCCGAACTTTCACGAGCGCCTTAACCAGTGTAACGTGCACATGCGTGTTATTTTGTTTGATCTTACATATATTAGCAAATATAAAACAAACCTGTAGTATATACCGTACATTATGTTCTATTAAAGCAAGTGAACAGAAAGGCTGCATTCGTTGATTCCTGTTCAGATACCTTAGTTGGATATTTTACATATTTAGCCGACACAGAC